CAGCGAAGCTTCCTCTCCTAACATTTTCTGCATCTCAGAGCTCACAGAACAAGCATACCTCCAAGTGGAAAGACTGGCATCTGCAAAGGGGCATTCTCTGGAGCCGTGAAACCTTTAAAGCATTGTTTTCCCTCAAGCACATAAAGGGGCAGACTGTTTACCCACTGAAAATAAAAGTCCACAAAAGTACATTACAAACAAGGGGAAAAACCCAAAATTACAGACTCTGGCTATTTGGGGTTTAAGAAGATATGCAAATGACCAATAAGCCCTGAAAAGATATTCACCATCAGTAGCCATCAGGGAAAGGCAAAGCAAAGCCAGAGGAGATGCTACACGCTATCTATCGGTACAATTACAAAAACAAAAACCATGCATGGGTTTGGATTTACGGCAGGCCCATCACGCTGGGCCTCTCATAGTGTCATATGCTGGAGCAACCTGTGACTCCGAACCATCGCCTGGTGTCTGTGCCTGTAGGCTGCTGGCACTGAAGTCAAACAACAACAAAAAACAAAAACAAAAACAAAAAACAAAATCAGTTGAAGTGAGCCAAGGATGTGGAGAATCTGGAACGTTCTTCCACAGAGTGAGCGTGGTATGTGGTGCAGTTTGCTCTCCACGCTGAGGGCTGCAGAAATAGTAAAAAATAGATTTGCCAAAGGACCCAACACCCAATAATTCCTCTTCTGGGAAATGCACAAGATACTTGAAAACGTATTCATGCAAAAGTTTGTGCACAACTGTCCATAATAGCAAAAGAGCTTAATGAGACTCATGACCTAAGACACTGCAGCATGGAGGAGCTTTGAAGCTGGTTAAAAGGTAGACTGAACCAACCGGTCACTGGACGGTAGATGAAATGTGTTGTGTCCATGGAGTGGAATGTTATTCAGCTATCAGAATAAATGATAAATGCTAAAATCTCCATGAAGTTAAAAACTTTTTCTAAATGAATGAAGCCAGACACAAGACACCACACGTACTGTGATTTCATTTAAATGAAATTTCTAGACTAGGGAAATTTATAGAAACTAAAAATGATTCTCCGTTTTTTTATGACATGGTCTTCCTGTAGCTACAGTTGGCCTGGAACTTACTATGTAGACCAAGCTGGCCTCCATCTCACAGAGATCC